TTTTCTTAATTTCATTTTTGGAATGTTCATTAGTAGTTTATATAAATGCAGTTGATTTTTGCTTGTATCCTGCAACCTTGCTGAACTCATTTGTTTCTTCTAGAATTTTTTTAGTTGATTCCTTAGGATCTTCTATGTAAAAGATTATGTTATCTGCGAATAGAGATATTTTTATTTCTTTCCAATGTGGATGACTTTTATTTCATTTTCTTGCCTAAATACCCTGACTAGAACCTCCTAGCTAGAAGTACTGAGAGAGACATCCTTGTTTTGGTCCTGATCTTAGGGGTAAAGCTTTCAGTCTTTGACCATGATGTGGATTTTTTGTAGATGCCGTTGACTGGCTCTTCCTAGGTCAGTATCATACTGCTTTAATTATCCAAAGTTCTTAAAACTTGTTACTATTCTTGGGCATTGTTCTTCCATAATTATTTTGTCAGATGAGTTGGAACATTCTTAACAAAATGGTGAAAATGCTGCAGAGGATTCTGCATGTGGTAAATACCTTAATGTTACCCAAAGCAGGTCCTGCTCGGTGTGGCTTTTCCTCAGTAACGATACACGGAGATGAGGAGGGAGTAAGCGCGTTTACTGCAAGCGCCAAGGCAAGGAGCCAGGAGGTGTCTACCTCAAATCAAGCTCCCTGAACAGAGCGAGGCAGAACCTTTTATACCGTCTCTCACAAGGAAGGACATACAAACATCATGGACTACCTAGGTTATCATGGTGCACAGGCGCAGTAAGACAAATTGCATTTTCTTTTTCTTTGGCATGTAGGCTTGTAAACTGGGTGTGACTGGCTTGAGCCACGTACAGTGCTTTGAGGACAATGGACAGAAGGGGGCAGATTCCGCTTGGTCTGAGCAGCTCCCAGTTGAGGGTCACCCAGCGCTGTCACTTAAGGCTTTGTTTGATGATGGCTAAGCTGCTACTGTTGCCTTGCCTATCATGAACAGCTTACAGCTTCCTGGTTTGTGCATAATTAATTTACGTAAGTACAACTCGGAGTTAAACTCTGGGGATTTAAAAGTGCTTTAGTGTAATTTGTGTAATTAATACTAGATTTTTACTGGAAAAGTTTTTGTTTTCTTGTTTAACATTTTAAAAAAGTCTAAACATGTTGTCTGGGATATCAAGGACTTAATCTGTGGTTGGTGGCAGCTTGCTCTGGTGGCACAGACAGCGTGGTGAGGTAGGCAGCCCTGCTTAGCTCGCACTGAGACCCTGTGCTAATTTCGGGACCTCAGTCTCCCCTCCGTTCTGCTGTGACCCAGCGGAGTGCATGGGACATCTTGGGGGCTCCATTTGCTGCTTTTCCTCCTGACCTGCCCCTGACTGCAGGCTGAATCACAGCAGGCTCTCCCACCTGGGAGGGCCACACGGGTGGTGCCAACTTGAAGGAAAAAGTGAGTGGAGTTTGTTTTATCTACTTGGAAAACAGATATTATTCAAAGCTAAGTGTTTTGTTTAGTGCCCTGCTTTGTACAAAATGCTCTTGCTCTCTCTGTGGTAAAAATGTATATAACAAAACATTTGCCATTTCAACCTTTTTCACGTGTACAATTCAGTGACGTTAGTTACGTCTGCCATGTTATGCAACCATCACCACTATCTGTTTCCAAGTTTTTTATCACCCTGAACAGAGACCCAGTGCCTCTTAAGCAGTGACTTGCTATCCCCCTTCCTCTCACCCAGGCAACCACTAATAAACTTTAGTTTCTCTGCATTTACAAAGTGCTCTTTTGAGATCAGGAGTGAGATTTTAAAGTACCGAAGTTATTGTGAGGGAGAGCTCCATCCCAGACACTAACGTTCTCCAGATGCCTATTCCAGGTGCACACTCTGACTTCCTTGTTCTTCTTAGCTGGAGCTTGGTCCAGCTGTGCTGAAGGCTCTTGCCTGTGACTACTCACCTTGTCTTTGGCTGCCTTCAGATTGTGAGACACCCACACTTATCACAAATAGTAGCACTTTTTCCCACTTTCCATCCATTTTAATAAAATGCTAAGGGCAAAGTGACATCAAATACTTTTCATTCTTTTTTAAAGGTTTGTTGCTGTTAGTTCCCGCAGAGTAGATTCCAACTCCTGGTGACCCTATATGTGCAGAATAGAACTGTGGGCCATAGGGTTATCAATGGCTGTGACCTTTTGGAAGCAGATGGCCAGGCTGGCCTTCTGAGGGGCCTCTGGGTGGGTCTGAACCACCAGCCTTTTGGTGGTTGGTAGTCCAGCACTTAACCATGTGCACTGCTCAGGGACTCTTTTTCATCTTTTTTCAGAGCCACCTTTCTCTTTCTTCAGACATGGTGTTTGCAGCTACACATGAGTTTGCCTTGCATGCATTTGGACGGTGTGATTTTTCTCTCTAGTCCTACCCACGCCGCTGTCTAGAGCTGCACAGTCTGCAGCACGCTGACCTCAGCTACGGCTGCATCCTAACCGTGGTGCTCATGGTAGTGACCCCACACGGGACGCACATGCAGTGACGGGCGGAGGTGTCCACTGCAGTCTTTACCTTTGCTACAGCAAGTGCTTGTGATTTGGTTTGATCTCCCTCCAGAAAAGCATTCTTGTAGTTCGTTTGAAGTCCCAGGGCCAAAAAGCCACACCAAGGTATTAAGTTGAACCTCCTCTCCCATGGCAGTCCAGGGGGTCCATCACTATTATTCCTTAGGAGAACATTGTTGACGGTCACGTTTTTAAGTTGTTCGCGCATGTTGAAGAACACATCCCCTGCCACGTATAATCCTGTTGAGAGAGGAGGTATTTTGGAAGTTGGGTTTCCCACCCCAGCCCTTTGAGGCTGTTCCTTGGTTCTAAGGAGTGTAGTTTCTACTGCAGTAAAATGCTTAATGTGGGTACAAATGCTGCTGTGGGACCCAGCTGGCAGTGCTGCTGGGGCTGCTTTTGGCTGGCTGACAGCCCTGTGGGCTCTCGCAGAGGTCTGGCCAGCTGCTGTCAGAATTCTAAGCCTGTCCAGAAGAGACACTTAAGGGGTTGTATGCGATTTACCCCCTGAATCTTGAGACTTGTTTCCTCTCCCTGCATGCACACGCACACGCGCGCGCACACACACACACACACACACACACACATACCCCCTATTCAAGGCCTTGCTTTGTTTTTTAATTTTTAATTTTGAAATATTGGAATTCAGAAGGTTGCAAAGATCGTATAGTTTCCGTATCCTCAGCGTCCCCTCATGTTAAATTCTTATATAACCAAAGCGTAATTATCAAAACTAAGACGTTCATATTGGCCCAGTCTTTTATGCTGATTTTACCAGTTTTTCTTCTCATGTTCTTCTTCTGTTCAGGATCTAATCCAGGGTGCCATATTGCATTGCATTCCTTAGTCTCCTTCTACCTGCAATAATTTCTCCATCTTTCCTTGACAATTTTGATAAGTACTGGTCAGGTATTTCATAAAATGTTCCTCAGTTTGGGTTTGTCTGATATTTTCTCATGACTAGACTGGAATTAATCGATTTTGGGAAGAAGACCCCAGAGGGGAAGGACCCTTCTTATGACCTCATTTCAGGGGGACCTGGTATCCACATGAATTATCACTGATGCTGTTACCTTGATCGCTGGGTTAAGGTGGTGTCCGCCTGGTTTCTCCACTGCAGAGTCACTGTTCTTCCCCTCCCACTCTGTTTGTTAGAATCCAGACCCAAAGTTCAGCCCTCACTCAAGGAGAGGGGAATTAAGCTCCGCCTCCTGGATAGAGGAGTGTCAGAGAATTTGTGGACAGTTGTTAGAACCACTAGAACCAGTTGCTGGCAAGTCAGTTCTGACTCATGGCGACCCCTTGTGTGCAGAGTAGAACTGTACTCCATGGGGTTTTCAATGGCTGTGACCTTTCAGAAGCAGATTGCCAGGCCTTTTTTCTGAGGCGCCTCTGGGTGGGCTCAAACTGCCAACCTTTTGGTTAGTAGCCGAGTGCTTAATCATTTGTGCCACCCAGGTACTGCAAACAAAACAAAACAAAAGCCACCCAAGTAGTTAATAAACATCTTGTGGTGGTATTGCGAGGCTGTGAAACTCCTCGTTTGTCCTTGAAGTTGTCCCATGCGTTTGTGCCCAGCAGCAGCTCTGCCTGCAGCAGTCCTCCCTGTGGTGGCTCATGGGGATTCTCTACTTTTTCCTGCCTTCCACATTTGTTAGTTGGATTCTTCTATGAGGAAGATTTGCCCCTTCTTTCCATTTATTTTTTCCAAGCCTTACTTTAAAATGATACAGCAAGTGGCGTCTGGCACCATGCAAGCTCAAAGTGCAGCTCTGCCCCTGGCCACTGTGGCTGTCCGTGGCCATGAGATGTAAGTGGTATGGTCCATGGGGGGTGCTCAGCTACACGTGCTGGCCCTCATCATTACCATACCTCACATACACAGAGCTGTCACATATCTGCCAACTCCTGAAAGCTGGCAACCAAGAATTAGGCAGAAGACAGATTTCTGCCTAGCGGACATGGCAGCATTCACTTGTTCGACCTGTGTCTGCAGGCAGTGGTGGTAATTAATAGAAGTAACCGATGTTCGTTGTGAACTTCACAACATGTGTTTCACTAGCTGTGTTAATACTTGAAAATATTTCCTACATTATGGGGTTGTTTATCCATGTTAGACATGTGATGCGGAAATTTGCCCAACAGCACACGGCTGGTCAGAGGCCCTGCTAGACCCAGATTGGGTCCGTCCAGTTCTGGGAGCCTTGTTCCTAACCACAGGGATGACCTGCCTCCCAGCACATCAGGTCAGAGAAGTAAACGCTCTGCTTTTGAAGGGTATCCCCTGGGTGCACAGCCCTTGAAGAGATCAGGTTAGCAAAGGCGTATGGAAGTGACTGAAGCCATTATTTGAATGGTGCAGGGTAAGTATAGTATTCACATAAATGAAACCCCTAAATGGGTGTTCGTGTGTCCCCGTTCATCAGCCCTAATCTTCCTAATGTGTGGGGATGAAATTAGAATTCTAAGATTTTTTTTTTGCTTCCTCAGCGCATTTACTATCTTTCGCTGGAATTCTACATGGGCCGGACACTGCAGAACACGATGGTGAACTTGGGTCTTCAGAGTGCTTGTGATGAAGCTATTTATCAGGTACAGTGTTCTCCTGGCAGGCTGCTGGGTCATCCTCAGGGCCTTTTGTGACACATTGGGGCTTTAATACAGTTTCTCACAGAGGTCAGCACTGACGTTAAGGTTTGCAGCCGTCTGGGAATGAGGACATGTCTTACGATGTAGTCTGTCGTACATGGAGGAGAATGGGGCTGGTGGGTGTCACTCCTCTTTCTCAAGGGGTGGAAGGGAGGAGAATTGGATGGGATGCTGATACACTGGAGTATAAGGACCGGGTTGAATTGTGATGTTAAGGTTTGGAGGCTTCTGGAAACCAGTGCACCCCTCTCGGGGCATTGCCACTCTCAGGGCAGACAGAGAGCATGGCAGAGTGGCTGGTATTGTTCATTTCTGCTAACATTATTAAACTAGTTACCTGCCACTGGTTCCCTCCCCCACCCCTAACATAACCTCTTGACTGATCCTACCCTCTAGTTATAAAATTGCCCTTTTCTCTCCTAATCAGAATCCAAGCTGCCTTTCCTTCTGGGTTCTTCACCAACAGTTACCATGAGGCTTCATCCTCCTGCAGTTCACTGCAGCTTTAGAGCAGGGCTCTAACTGGCTGCATTTCTGTTTTCCTGTCCTAGTCTGTGTCCTTTACTTCTCTCCCTGGAGGCTGCCTTTCCTTCCCAGCCCAGACTCTCCAGTATAGAGTCCAGAGAGTGGCAGGGGGAAGCTTTCCTCTCCGCTCGCGTGTGCAGAGGGGCCACCACTGAGCTATCCTTCTTCTCTGACCTTCCCACTGCCTTTGTTTTTTGTTTAGTTTGGTTTTGTGACTGGGGAGGGGGCTTTGACGGGATGGTGCGATGTTAATTCCAACATGACTGCTAATACCTCTTGGTGTTGCCAGGACCACCTTTCTGTCCCTCCAGCACTCAGGGAGCAGTCATGTCTGGGGCAAGTAATTTCAGTTGGCACAAAGAAATTTGACTCCCCAAAATAGGAATCCAGTGCTCAAAATTACGTAGAGATACAGAGGAGTTTTCCAGAGGCTAAGTGAGGGGTGGTATCACAGACTGAAGGCGGGAGCAGAGAGTCCAGCTGTGTTCTTAAGCCAGCCATTAAGGATAGTTTTTAAATGTAAAATGATGCCACTCAGTAAATTTTTTTTGTTTTCTAAAATATAGAGAGCTATTTTTCATAAAACCGTGTTATTTGTGTTAACATACAATGAGTTTATTGTTTTTAATGAATTCATCAATACTTTTTAAAAATACTTCTACATTTTAACTTCTAATTTGGTAAATATTGATAGATATAACCCGCATAAACAGAAGCTCTTTGAGCCCTCCTGAGACCAAAAAGTTTAAAAGCCACTGATCTAGATAATGTGAGTAGTTTATCTAGTTTGTACACTAAAGCTAGACTGATGTAATAATTAACTATACACCAAGATTAAGAGCCTCAAGATCTGCATCTGGAATGGTTTTATGTCAGTTTCAGTAGTTGTGACTTTGTTGCTTTATGTTTGGTTCTTAATATGCCACCCTGTTTTACAAGATTTTTTTAATATAATTGGGACATCACAGGAAGAAAAGCTTTAGGTGTCATGTAAATATCATCAACATATGAAGGTAGAGAATTACTAAGATCTGTTGGCTTCATTTTTTAGGATATATGTTATGATCTGTCCACTATACATGGGTTAATAATTTGGCAGTAAATATCATTGGCTATTAAACCATGTTTAATTTTGACTGATATTTCTTAAATAGCTCAGCAGTTTTTGAAATACTGTCTCCTGCCGGTCTCCTGGTGCTGCGGTCTCTGCTGCCGCCTGCTGCCTCTCAGCCATTGCTGCTTCTCAGCATCTCTGGTGTTACAGCTCTCTGTCCTGGTTCTGCAGCCTCTCTCTGTCTTCTGTGTTACAGCTCCTCTCTTTGTGTCTCTTTTAAGCCTAATGGGATGGCAAAACTGACCAATCCCCTTGTTAGGGTTCTATACACCTTATTTGCATGGTCTCATCCCCACAAGGGTGCCATGCACCTTATTTACATTATTAACATGCTGTCCAACCTCCTTGGTGGGCCACAAGCACTTCATTTGCATAACCCCACCCAATCATTTGGTGGGAGTTACAAAGATTATGGCTGTTGTTGTTAGATGCCATCGGGTCAGTTCCGACTCATAGTGACCCTGTCTATGCACAACAGAACGAAACACTGTCCGGTCCTGCACCATCCTCACAATTGTTATGCTTGAGCGTGTTGTTGCAGTCACTGTGTCAGTCCATCTCTTTGAGGGTCTTCCTCTTTTTCTCTGACCCTCTGCTTTACCAAGCATGATGTCCTTCTCCAGGGACTTATCCCTCCTGGTAACATGTCCAAAGTATGTGAGACATAGTCTCACCATCCTTGCTTCTAAGCAGCATTCTGGTTGTACTTCTTCCAAGACAGATTTGTTTGTTCTTCTGGCAGTCCATGGTATATTCAGTATTCTTCACCAACGCCACAATTCAAAAGTGTCAGTTCTTCAGTCTTCCTTATTCATCATCAAGCTTTCACATGCATAATGCTTAGGAGGTGACCGAAAACGCCATGGCTTCGGTCAGGCACACCTTAGTCTTCAAGGTGACATCTTTGCTTGTTAACACTTTAAAGAGGCTTTTGCAGCAGATATGCTCAGTGCAGTGCATCTTTTGATTTCTTGACAGCTGCTTCCATGGGTGTTGATTGTGGATCCAAGTCAAATGAAATCCTTGACAACTTCAGTCTTTTCTCCATTTATCATGATGTTGCTTACTGGCCCAGTTGTGAGGATTTTTATTTTCTTTATGTTGAGGTGCAATCCATACTGAAGGCTGTGGTCTTTGATCTTCATCAGTAGGTGCTTCAAGGCTAGAAGGTCCATATTAAGAAATTCACTGCACTGCAGTGATTTTAAAATGTTACCTCTGTTTCTATTTGCAGCTGGGGCTGGACTTGGAGGAACTAGAGGAAATAGAAGAGGATGCCGGCCTTGGGAATGGAGGCTTGGGGAGGCTGGCAGGTAATCACAGGCACCTGTCCAGGGGAAGGTTGGTCCTGATGGGTTGCTTGGTTGGTGACTGCACGGCAAGGGCAGGCGTGCTCTGGACGCTGACCTCTGGGGTCCATTGGCTCTCCCCAGAGTAGATGAGAGAGTGTGTTTCTCAGATCATAATCTTTGCCACCAGTGAAAACATAAAAGCAGAATATATGTTCTCTTTCATACGAGGTGCAATTCCTAATTATCGTTGAGACCAAGCTCATCAAGCTGGGAGGGCTCTGAATGTATCGACCACTTTCAGGAATCTAAAGGGTAGTATGGTAAAACCTATGATAGCCGAAACCTGTGCAAGAGAGGAACTTGTCAGAGAAGGAAAACTCAAATCTTCCACTAAAACGAGTGATAGAAAAGTGGTAAGACTACCCTGTCAAAGGCGGAAAGCTAGCGAGACCTGGAAAAACAAGGCAGTCCCATCGAGTTTCAGCTCTCACAGGTTTCACTGTAATTGAGAAAAAGACAGGTGAATAGAAACACACACACACACCACACACACATTTCACGTACATACACACACATAAAGCCCACCACATAATTCACACCACACACACCCACACACACACCACACATACACTCACGCCTCCACCACATAATTCACACCTCACACACTCACACCCCCACCACATATTCCACACCACACACACACCCATGCCACGTCATACCACACATACACACCACCACACATGCACATACCACATACCACACACCTTGCACACATTCTACTACACAGTCCACACCACATACACCATGCCACATACACCTACCATTCCTGCACATACACACGTACCACCACACACCATACTCTACACACACCACATATACCACACTGTACACACACTCCACACCACACACTATTGACATATATGCTACACACATGCTACGCCCACACATGCCACAGACAGCACAGCACATCTACCCTCCCACCCCACATGCCACACTCCACATACACACACACTTTGTGAATGCTGCAGTTCACAGCAGGCTTCTAGCTTTCCTACAAGAAACAGATTGCCCTGAGATAGCAGCCGTTCCTGCTGGGGATGGTGCTCCCTTGGACTGCTGTGTTTGAGATAGGAGAGGGAGTTCAGTTTTCCCTTTTTGTGAAACCTGAAGTTGACTGTGGTCACTGCGGAGTCACTGTCTGTCACCCTGTCGACGAGACCCCCTGTTAACATCTGGGCCTAGATCCGCTGATTGTCTCTGATTCCAGCAAGCTCTTTGTGTTTGGATTTCCAGCCTGTTTCCTTGATTCGATGGCCACCCTGGGACTGGCAGCATATGGCTATGGAATCCGCTATGAGTTTGGGATTTTTAACCAGAAGATTGTGAATGGCTGGCAGGTGGGTGAGACTGGATTTCCTCACTGGTCTGCAGCTCTCCTTCCTATAAGAAATAAACACAGCACTTCAGTTTGGCTTTTTATGCTTTAAGCTCCTTCCTGGAGTGAGTGCGTGCCACCTACAGGCAACATGGATGTGGACCAGGGTCACTCCGGTCCTGTCGACTACAAAAGTTTGCCGTACTTACCTATTGTTATTGCTGCGTGGAACTGGCGGTCGCTGGTCTCCTGTGTGAGTTCCTTGTAAATTGCCTCCACGTGGTGGCTGGTAGGTTTGGTCATGGGTAGGACAAAGGAGAAGACCATCAGACAGGGTTCCATGCCACCAGGTAGTGAGGATCCCCCGGGTGCACACTGGTGCTCCCGTGGGCCTGAACGTGAAAAGAAGGGCAGTGTTCTCTGCGTTTGGCATCTGTGGGACAGTGAACTTTGAGGAGTTAGTTAGGAAAATGGTTATTAGGTCTTGGATGCCATTGGGTAGAGTTTTAGAGAATAAACTGCTGGGAAGAAGCCTAACAGAAGAGCAGTGTCTCCATGTGGTGGGTGATGGGCAGCTACTGGGAGGAGACCAAGCCCCTCAGGTAATCACAAGGTTGGAGGGGTTATTTTGGGATTATGCTCTTTTCACCAGTGTGGTCTTGACCACCCTAAGTAGCCATAGTGTGATGCTAATACAATCAAGGTTTACTCTTCCTAAGGGCCAGTTTGCTTTGCAGTCTGGCCCTAATCCCACGAGACCCCATCACCTCATTGGCATCAGGGAGCAGAGGCAAAACGTGGGCTCCAGGCGACTGTTCTTTTAGAGCAGCTTCATTGATACAGTTAATATACCATAAAATTCACCTCTTTAAAGTGTGTAATTCCATGGTTTTTAGTATATTCACAAGGTTGTGCAACCATCACTAATTCCAGAAAATTTTCGTTACCCAGAAAGAACCCCTGTATGTATTTGCAGTCATACGCCAGCCCTAGTCTGCATCTGTCTTTGTGGACTTGCCTGCTCTGGACATGTCATACAGATGGAATCAGAGAGCATGTGGTCCTCAGGGCTCCTTTCCCTGAGCTCATGGTGGCCAGGTTCATCCTCACTAGTGCATATATCAGTATTCAACCTTATTTATTATCAATTCATGTGATTCTTAATGTATTTTTATTTTAATACATTTTTCTGAATTTTACACAAGGTTGTTACCTTAATAGTCCAGAATGTCATTTGCCTGCAGTGGGCTTTAGTTCTGTTTCAGTGTGGCCCCGCCAAGATGCAGTCCACCCAAGGACAGGGTGTGGGCTGGCCCCAGGGGCTGCTCCCTCACCCAGGCCTCTCTCTCCACTCCCCCAATGGTGACCCCTTCTAGGTCGAGGAGGCTGACGACTGGCTGCGTTACGGCAACCCCTGGGAGAAGGCGCGCCCAGAGTACATGCTTCCTGTGCACTTCTATGGGAAAGTAAAGCATACCCCAGATGGGGTCAAGTGGCTGGACACCCAGGTATGGAACCCAGAGCTCGTGAGTGGAAACGTTGGAGGCTGAGCGAGGGACGCTCTGTGTTTCATTTGTGGTTAACTGACTTCCTTTTGGGAGTGGGGAGCTGCTTCTCTGGAGGATTCAACTCCAGGTAGCAGCCTGGGGGAAGATTCTAATCTCTTCACATTCCCACTTTCCTACACTTGCAGCGGAATTGTCCAGATGGGAAATGCTGAGCCTGGCAGAGAAAGCGTCAGGGTGAAGCCACACGCTGTGTCATTTTGTGGGGCTGCGTGCTGGGCTCGAGCTTGGCAACCATGCATGTTATTGGCTGCCTCCTAGAGACATCACTGTGTCCATGTTGTTGAGTAGCAAGCAGAGTTGCCTTCTCACAGGGCTAAGGGCAGGTGCACCCTCACCACTTGCATGAGGTCTGTCTGCATGGCCATGTGGTCCCCCTGGTGCACTCAGTGGCCCACCACTGGTCATGCACACTGAAGGCTCAGCTCTGGGTGTGTGAGAGGCCCAGGTGGGTGCCCAGGAGGGCCACAGACACTCCCTCCAAGTCCAGAGTCCTGGGGTGGACCAGGTGGAAGAAGGTAGCAACAGTAGCAGGGTGCAGATGCAGGAGAGACCTGTTCAGTCCCAGGGCTGGGAGAGAGCACCTCGTGGGGTTTCAGGAGTAGGGAGCAGGGGAGCTTCATGAAAGAATATTCGTGTGATGCACCATGAGAGTCGTTAGGACGCAGACATACCTGATGCAGGTGGGCTGAGTAAAGCTGATTGGGAGGCTGTGAGACTGGAGTTGGAGGCGTGTAAAGTGAGGGCTCTGCTCTTCCGGAATGTGAGCTTTAACCAGGGTGCTGGGAACCAGAGCTGGCTGGAGCCATGTAGCGGAGGCTAAGCTGCTATGATAAGTTCATTTCATTTGAAAAAGCAGAGAAAGGGACCTACATTTTTGAGTGTGTGCTTGTAAAAAGTGACTTGTTGGTGTGGGGAGGGGTGGGCAGGAGAAGGGAGGGCTGGAGGCTGGGGGCTAATGGTGCAGGACATGATGAGGGCCTCGGCTTGGAGGCGCGCAGTCAGGAGGGAGTGGAGGTGTTGGCTTTGAGATGCTCTGCAGAGGACTTGTCACGTGAGGGCAGAGGGGCGAGGGGTGGAAGCAGGCAGGGGAAGATGATCCTGGGCTTTTGGGTCCCTCGGAGAGTCCAGGGCCTGGGAGTGGCTTGAGGTTTTGCCTGAGTCTTCCTGTGCTTGACGTTCTGGACAGGTCTGAATGGGCGCTGTCCTGGAGCAGGAGGGTGGTGGGCCCTGCTGGTGGAGGAGCAGCCCTGCCTTTTCTCTTGGGTGAAGCGTGAGGAGTTGGTTTGGAGCGTGCTGAGTTTTAGTGTAAGGGTGTCCACAGGTGGAAACTTTCCAACAGACCTCAGAAATGTTGGTCAAAAAGAGAAGTTAATCAAGTCCTCAAGTTGCTAAAGCTGAGCATTGAGCGAGGCAGGAGAAAGCTGTGACCAACATTGGGGATCGCTTTATTCAGGGAGGGCAGAGGGCAAGGAGACCAGACAGTGGTTGTAAGGTAGGGAGCCAAGTGAGTGCAGCACCCTCTCCAGGCGCTGAGAGAGGTAACTTAAGCAGGAGGTGTCCATGATGCACATACTGCAGAAAGCAAAGCTAGAAAAGACAAGGGTGGCCTTGGGGGTGTGGGCGCCGGCACTGCACCTGGGGTTGTGGTGGAGGGGAGCTCAGCCGGCTGGTGCAGGTTTTAGCTAGGGGCAGATCATGGGGCAGATCATGTGTGCTTCCAGCCAGTGGAGGGTGAGAAGCTGGGCCTGATCAGGAAGTGAAGAGGTCTGCGTCAGAGGCTGGTGTTGACACTCACCCACGGGGGATGTTTGAGGTGAGACGCAGGATTCTGGGTGTCTCCTGTGCAGGTGGTGCTGGCCATGCCCTATGACACGCCGGTGCCAGGCTACAGGAACAACACCGTCAACACCATGCGGCTGTGGTCTGCCAAGGCGCCCAATGACTTCAAGCTCCACGACTGTGCGTGCCTCCTCTGTCTGCCCGTACTTCTGCAGCTCACGGTGTGGGCCGGGTTATAGACTCAGCGCCCGCCTTCTCGGGGTTGCTCGACTCCCCTTGGAGAAGGCTGGCCCGCGCCCAAGGCCAGGCGGGCTCTGAGCTGATGAGTATGGTGTGTGGTCAGTGCCCAGCAAGGGCCAGGCCAGGGACTCATCTTCACTATTTGCTCTGAGAAAGAGAGGGGCATGGTGTGGTACAGGGTGGGGGCGCTGTGGCTAATGTGGGGAAGAGGCACAGGTGCCTCTCAGGAGCAGGCAGTGAGATGAAGCAGAACAATGGGTCGGGGCTGGGGGTCGTGGGGAACGTGTGCCCTAGTCCTTTCCATGTAAATGCCTGGTAGGTCATGGGGCTCATGTTTCTGAGGCCGCGCAGGGGCCGTGGAGGGGCCTGCGCACACTGACCCCTACCCGCCTCTATCTAGTCAACGTGGGGGACTATATTGAGGCCGTCCTGGATCGGAACTTGGCTGAGAACATCTCCAGAGTCCTCTACCCGAACGATAACGTGAGTAGTGGGCGTGGTCAGCGCTTGGCTACGCTGCGCCTCCTCCGCGTTGGGGAAGTAAACCCGCGGCTGCAGCTCCCCTGATCAGAGCCTGTTTACTGAGCTGAAATTGGGAGGTGGGACACTGAAGTGGCCATCAACAGCCCTGTGTCGGCCTTTGTGAGCATGTTCACACTCTTGGGGAGCAAGGACAGAGGCACTTCATCAAGGAGTGTGCCTGTTAGGGTCTCATTTTTGCCTTCTGGCTCCCTCAGAAGGACTTGTAAGGGAGTTCTTTGCCTACTCTCACATGTATGAATGCTCCCTGTAAACACAGCAGCTCCTAGTGGCTTGGCTGATGAGGGGCAGGGTTTGAGCTGACCACATGCCTCTGCATGGAGAGGCACAGTGGGGACAGGGTGGGGAGGCGGGAGCTGAGGGCTGGGTACAGGGATGGGGCTTGGGGACGGGGTATGGGGGACATGGAGTACAGGGATAGGGTATGGGGACAGGGTGGAGAGAGGGTGGTGGGGACAAGGTGCAGGGATGGGGCATGGAGACAGTACAGGGATGGGGTGTGGGGATGGGTGGGAGAGGGGGGTGGGGACAAAGTGCAGGGATGGGGTGTGGGGACAGGGCAGAGAGAGGGGCCATGGGCCCAGGGCGTAGTGATGGGGCATGGAGACAGAGCACAGGGATGTGGTGTGGGGACGGGGTACAGGGATGGGGCATGGATGGGGCAGAGAGAGGGGGGTGGGGACAGGGCAGAGACAGAGAGGTGGGGATAGGGTACAGGGATGGGGCTGGAGACAGAGTACAAGGGTGGCGTGTGGGGATGGGGCAGAGAGGGGGGTGGGAATAGGGTACAGGGATGAGGCTGGGGACAGAGTGCAGGGGTGGGGTGTGGGGACGGGACAGGGAATGGGGCATGGGGACAGGGTGCAGAGATGGGTTGTGGGGACAGGGCAGAGAGAGGGGGCATGGGCCTAGGGCATGGTGATGTGATGTGGAGAGACAGTGCAGGGGTGGAGTGTGAGGACAGGGCAGAGAGAGGGGGCATGGGCCTAGGGCATGGTGATGTGGTGTGGAGAGACAGTGCAGGGGTGGAGTGTGAGGACAGGGCAGAGAGAGGGGGCGTGGGCCCAGGGCATGGTGATGGGATGTGGAGAGACAGTGCAGGGGTGGGGTGTGGAGAGAGGGTGCAGAGACGGGCACAGGGATAGGGGATGGGGGATGGGAATGGGGTACTAGGCACAGAGGGTGGGACCAGGCCTGTTTATGTCATTCCTAGCCATGCAGTGCCACTTCTTCCAGAGTTGCTGGGTGGCCGTTGTGCAGTGGGGCTGTGGGGCCTATTTGGCCAGGGTGCTCTGAGGCCCACGACAGTCAGTGTTGGGAAGCCGTTAGCCTGCGCCTGCCAGCACTAGATGGTCGTGGCAGACGTGGTCTCTGCTGACATCGAATTTAGTGGTTGGTGGCTTTTTTTGGTGGTGGTTGTTGATGCCAGACAGGAGCCCCCAGAGTTTGCCTGCTCTAGTAGGTTGTGTGCTTTCAAATTCAGTTTTTCACTCTGTCATAGTAACGTGCTGAAAGGCTGATAACAAGGCACCTCCCACCCGAGTTTAAGCAGACCCTCAGCCTTGCAGCGCGGAGGACATTTATAACGCCTGGGCATCTGGACTGGCAGTTTGAGTGACTGGCATCACTCACGCCTGGGCATCCTCATTGTTAACGCACTGCACGCTCCGTGCCTGGTGTCTGCACCTGGGCGGTGTGGCCTGGGCCACCGCCCTTGCTGTCTCCGTGTCTGAGGTCGAGTAGTGCACCAGGGCTCAGGCCACTTACCGCCTTCTGCCCAGAACCTGAGCGTGGCTGCCTGACCCCAGGCTGGGGAGGCAGGACACGGGCCTCACCTCCGGTGGGGGGCTCCGTGAGGTGGAGGAGCCTTCGCACTGTGTTGGGCTGCACGGGCACTTGCTGCAGTTGTCCACATACACGTCTTGGGGCCCCCAGGGCGGGCGCCTCCCCGCCTGGTGGCCCTCCTCACAGCAGGTAAGTCTCCCCATGTGGGACAGCAGCACATGGGGCACCTGTGTCTGCAGTTCTTTGAGGGGAAGGAGCTGCGCCTGAAGCAGGAGTACTTTGTGGTGGCCGCCACCCTGCAGGATATCATCCGCCGCTTCAAGTCCTCCAAGTTTGGCTGCCGGGACCCTGTGAGGACCTGCTTTGAGACGTTCCCAGACAAGGTGCGTGCGTGTGTGCGCAAGGATGAAGCATGGGGCTGTCCAGGGCAGGGTGTATGCAGCGTGTTCCCTCTCAAGGTAGGCATGGCAGGAGGAGAACAGAAGGGCAGCAGCACCTTTGCCGTGGCTTCTCCTGCCCCTGGCCCACCCTGTGCCGTGCCTCTGGACGTCTGCTGTCGCTGTCATGGGACCACACCCACCTTCCTCCCTGTCTAGGTGGCACAGGCAGTGAGGGAGGGGAGCGGGTGAGTGGGAGCATAGGCCATTTTAAAATGAAGATTCCATATCCTAGTGGAAAGGAGCTCTCAGTCAGGGTGAGAGCGAGTTGCTGGAGAGCCCTCTGTGGGGGAGGAGAGGCCCCAGTGCAGGGCCTCCAGCATGTCTGCCTGCCAGCCCTGGCTCCCCAGCAAGACCCTTGAGACCCTTGCGGCCTCTGTCTCTGAGAAGGCTTCTTCAGCGTCTTCACTGTCATCTCCAGTTCCTAGCACTGTTGTCACAGCTCCGCCACGCACCTGGGTAGTGGCCATCTGCTTCCTGTCTGTCCCCTTATTCAGAGAGGGGCACCCCCAGGCTGAACTCACTGCCCCACCAGCAGGTGCCGAGGGCAGGCTGCTGATTGAGGACCTGCCCTCCTGTCAATTCCAGGTGGCCATCCAGCTGAATGACACCCACCCGGCCCTCGCTATCCCCGAGCTCATGCGAATACTGGTGGATGTGGAAAAGGTGGACTGGGACAAGGTAGGCGCCGAGGAGACGGGCACATGGGGTGACATTGTTGTCTGCAGATGAGGGTGTGGGGGAGGGCACATATTCTCTGCAGACCTGGGTGTGTGTGGGGTGACAGTGTGCACACCTGGGCATATGTGTGGGGTGACAGTGTTCTCTGCAGACCTGGGTGTGTGTGGGTGACATTGTTCTTTGCACACCTGGGTATGTATGTGGGGTGATGTTGTTCTCTGTAGACCTGGGCGTGTGTAGGGTGACAGTGTTCTCTGTACACCTGGGTGTGTGGGGGCTGACGGTGTTCTTTGCAGGCCTGGGTGTGTGTGGAGTGACAGTGTTCTCTGCAGGCCTGGGTGTGTGTGTGGGGCGACAGTATTCTCTGCAGACCTGGGTGTGTGTGTGGGGTGATGTTGTTCTCTGCAGACCTGGGTGTGTGTGGGGAGACAGTGTTCTCTGCAGACCTGGGTGTGTGCGGGGAGACAGTGTTCTCTGCAGACCTGGGCGTGTGTGTGGGGTGATGTTCTCTGCAGACCTGGGCGTGTGTGTGGGGTGATGTTGTTCTCTGCAGACCTGGGCGTGTGGGGGCTGACAGTGTTCTCTGCAGTCTGTTCAGCCTATCCAAAGAACAATTATGAATGGTTGACCTTATCCTTGGAAGCTGAGATAGGGATGTCCTTGTAACCATGTGGGAAATAGAGGAAATTACCACTGAAAACGACAGAGTGGCAGGGGAGAGAAGGTCATTCAGAGAGCTTCTGGTCTTTCTCGCATCTGACGGGGAGACATGGAGTCAGAACAAGGGTATGAAGGGGAAAAGAGCAATCGTTTGAAGGCAAGGAAAGGTTTCTGACACTTCTTAAGGCTTCTCATGTATGTATCTTGTCTTAGAATTCATGGTAAAAAGCAGACAACTATGAAGTTTTAAGGAAACGCATATTTTTGCATATATATGTTTGTTCTCATGACTCAGCTTATTTGGGTCCTAGATTTTTTACGATAGTGAGATCGTCTCAATCTAGCTTTAACTAAATCTGCCTGTAAATACATATTTTTTTACCCTGTTACAGAAAACCCGGGTGCCCTCAGGTCTCTGGGAGTGTGCTTTCTGGGTGAGGCTGCCCCGAGATGGGTGGCACCCAGTAGGTCTCCCCTCCCGGCCAGCAGAGGGCACGGTGCATGGGGAACCCAGTGTCTCCTGCAGCTATGACCGTGGGTGGTGAACTGGAGTTGGCAGAAATAGGAACAGCGGAGTGTTCTGTTTCTGGGTGTGGGGAGGGTAACAAGCGCCTAGGGACAATTTCTAAGTTATGGCCCCCCAATTTTAAGATGAATAGATGTTGATAGCAACACGTCATCAGAAACACCTTCTCCCCCCTTGTCTGACTGCCTCAGTCAGGCGCCTTTCATATTTGTGGCACCTCAGAGTGTCATTCCGCGCCTCTTCTGGCGCCCCTTGGACTTGCGCCCAGGGGCAAGTGTCCCACTCTGGGCGCACCACCCCTAACTATGCCTCTGGTCTGTTTTGTTTACCCATAAGGAATGGTTTGAAAAGGCAGATTAAAAAGGTGATTCCCAGGTGTTAAGGGTGGGCGTTGTTTGTGTGTGTGCACATGTGCGCACACGTACGTGTGTTGGATCAGGACATAAGCTTACTTCCTCCTGTTCGAGGGCGAAGAGCAGTGGGTTCGTGGATTTTGGCAGCCGCACTTGAGCCCTGGGAGCGAGCCTGGGGGCATGTGGCACTTTTCCTGGGATCTGAACCTTTGCTCTCCAGACCTGCATCTTGCCTAGGTGTCCGGCAGTAGAGCTGCTTGTTTCTAGACAGAGTACACGAATGCTTGAATGCTCTTGAGTGGCCCTTTTTTAAAATGTTTTCCTTTTTTTTTTTTATTTGATTAAATTTTTTTATCTTTTTTTTTAAATTGTACTTCAGGTGAAGGTTTACAGAACAAATAGTTTTCATTAAACAGTAGTACACATATTGTTTTATGACATTGGTTAACAACCCCATGACATGTCAAGCCTCTCCCTTCTCGACTTTTTTTTTGGTGAAAATACGCATAGCCAAAGATGCACCATTTCAAAAATTTCTACATGCGCAGTTCAGTGACATCGACTTAAATTTTTTTATCTTAAATCAAGTTTGTTGTTCTGTTGGTGCCGTTGAGTTGATATTAATTAATAACGACCCATATGACAAAGTAGAACTGTCCTGTAAGATTTTCTTGACCGTAATCTTTATGGAAGCAGATTGTCAGCTCTTTCTCCTGTGGAGTGGCTGGGTGGTTTCAAACCCGCCAACCTTTGGGTAGCAGTTGAGCGCTTAACCATTGCACCACCAGGGCTCCTTTGAGTGGTCCTTTTGTTTATGCCAGGCCTGGGAAATTACAAAGAAGACCTGTGCATACACCAACCACACGGTGCTGCCTGAGGCCTTGGAGCGCTGGCCCGTGTCCATGTTTGAGAAGCTGCTGCCGCGGCACCTGGACATCATCTACGCCATCAACCAGAGGCACCTGGATGTGAGCGCCTGCCCTGGTAGGGGATGTAGGGCTGCAGTGAGGCTGGGGCCCTCCTCCCCTGTGGTGAAGCACTTAACCTGTGAGAGGATCAGCCCATGTCTTCTAGAGTGCAGGGGTGGGGCTGTCTCTCCTGCTGAGGCCTCGGGTGTACAGGAGTTCGTGGATTCAGCCCTTTCTAAAATGTCTCCATCCCTGAGCAGGGCTAAGATGTAGTGTCCTTTTCTGTAAAGTCAGAAGGCCTTGTCCCATAGACCTCATAGTGGTATTGGGTGCTTGAGGAACAAAACACTCTGTGCTTTCTCTGCTCTGCAGAGTGGGTAGTGGTGCAAGAACGGGGACTGAGAATTCAGAAGTAATTATAGTTCACCTTTTAACCCTTTGTTGAAAAAGTAGCTGTTCCCACTGGTCACAATCTGGTTATATCTAACAGAAATAGGTGCCTGGGCATGTCTTTCTGCCCAGCCGGTCCTCTCATCTCCTCTTGACAGAGCAGCGCTGTGAGGCCTTGGGCCCAGCCCTCCCTGCTGAACCCATCCTGGAGTCTGGGAAACAGTGCTGAGCTGCTAAGCTGTGTGGGTGCCATGGTGCTGGGCTTCCCAGAGGGAGAGAACCTCCCAGGCTGTGGTGGCGCTCACTTGGCCCCAGGAGCTCTGGTTGCTGAGATTGCTGTGCCCTCCATCTCACACAGCACGTGGCGGCCCTGTTCCCTGGTGACGTGGATCGCCTGCGGAGGATGTCTGTGATCGAGGAGGGGGACTGCAAGCGGATCAACATGGCACACCTGTGTGTGATTGGGTCCCACGCCATCAATGGCGTGGCCAGGATCCACTCGGAGATCGTGAAGCAGTCTGTGTGAGCGCCTATGCCTCGTGCACCACCTTCTCCCCAGGCTGTGACGGTGGGCCCACACTGCCTGTGTCTATCTGCCACACACACAGGGCCCCTGCGTTCCTGCATCTTTGGTCTGTCCAGGCAGGGTTCTAGGGTCTGGAGCACAAGCACGTGGAAGTGTTGGAGGGGCTGCAGCCCTTGGTGTGGGTGGAGGGGGCACTGCTGTGGCCCATCTGAGTGTGCCTGTGTTTCTGGTGCTAGCCAGGGGTTTGCATGGTATATTACTTCATCCCCACAACAGACTTCTGAGTTGGGTGTCCCATTCTGCAGATGAGGAAACTGAGCCTGGGCTTCTCAAGCTCTAAAGCCTGCATGCTCTCCACGGTCCTGACTGGAAGCTGTGTCCATGCAGACCATGAGGACGTGGTCTGCAGAGGGCCGGCCCTAGGACCATGTGGACAACAGCCAGATAGCGAACGCTTCAAAAGCAGGCAGCGTGGGCATCATCTGAACATGTGCAGCGTAGCAGCTCAGAACAGTTTAGAAAATAAAACTAAAACTTGGAGTTTCAGGGTCTCCAGGGCATTTCATTAAAAGGTCTGTATGTCTGCTGCTCACCGAGTTCAGAACAAAGTGTTTGTGAAGGGTTACCTGTCTTCTGTTGTTTGTAGCTTTAAAGACTTTTATGAGCTGGAGCCAGAGAAGTTCCAGAACAAGACGAATGGCGTCACACCCCGCCGGTGGCTCCTGCTGTGCAACCCGGGGCTGGCCGACATCATCGTGGAGGTGAGGACCAGAGCCTGCCTCTGTCCCCACGGGGACACTGGGTCTGACAGGGAAGTGGCAGCTCCTGGACACATCCTGGATGTGGAGAGTGGGGCTAGTCAGCAGGCCCTGGTGAAGGCAGCCAGAAGCAATCTCTGGGCTCCAGGAAGGGCTGTGAGGGGACTGCCAGGCAGAGCGACACAGCCCCACAGATGAAAGGGGCCAGCTGTGTATGCTGGGGGTCTGTGAGGCACAGGCACTTTTGCTCATGCACTTATTCACAGTTGACTTCAGTCAAGAAGGAGGTACCTAGACTTTGGGTGGCAGGTGGCCAGTCCTCAGATGCTCACAACACCAGTGCACGGTGCAGGTGGAGTCATCCTGAGAAAACCATGGTGCCTGAGAGCTTGTCGAGGGAGACTGCCTCGTCTGGGGCTGTGTGTGCACATGTGTGCATGTGGAAATGTGTGCAAGTGAGTACGTGTGCATATGTGCACACATGCATATGGATGTGTGCATGTGCGTGCACATGTGTGCACATGGAAGTGTGCATGTGCGTGCACATGTGTGCACATGGAAGTGTGTGCATGCATGTGTGCATGTTTAAATGCACATGTATGTGTGTGTGCGTGCGTGTCCCAGAAGCCTTCCTGAGAACAAGGCAGTGGAGTTAAGACCTGGGGCATGGAGGGAGGTACCAGGAGTGGTGCCTCCGGTGGAGCAAATTTCTGGTCCAAGGCCTTGTAGCCAGATGGAGAAGGTGCATCCAGGGACAGGAAAGGCAGGTGTGGCTTCAGTGCAGGGGACAAGGTGAGATAGAATGTGAGGAGAGGCTGGTGAGACAGCTGGGATACTTGTGGACTAGCTTAGGAATTTTTCTCTTTGCCCTGAGTTAGCAACAAGAGGCCCTAAGCAGGAGGTACTCAGTGAGATTTTTGTTTTGAGGTGGGTGCAGGGAGGTGGAGAGGTGTGGCAGGGGTGGGCCCTGGGAGGTGGAGGGGTCTGGGAGGTGAAGGGGTACAGCGGGTTGGGCATGGTAAGGTGGAAGGGTGTGGCAGGGGTGGGCACGGGGAGGTGTAGGGGCATGGGAGGTGTTGGCTGGTGGTGGAAGGTATAGGGGTGGGTGTGGGGAGGGGTGTGGCATATGGAGGGGTGCAGAAGGTAGAGGGGTATGGAGAGGGTAGGTGCAGGGAGGTGGAGAGCAGGGGTGGGCACGGGAGGCAGAGCGGCATAATAGGGGCGGGTGCGGGGAGGTGAAGCGGCGTAGTAGGGGTTGGTGTGGGAATGCAGAGGGGTGTAGCAGGAACAGGCATAGGGCAGTGAGAAGGACTCGTGTTCTCCTGCCCCAGGTGGCCTGCCATGTTGAGATGGGTGGTTTCACATGCCACATAGGAAACCTGGGAGGAGACTTGATATGCGGGGTGTAGGCTTTTGTGTTTGGTGGGGGAGACATTCTGGAGGAAGTGTTAGGAGGACACACTGCCTGACCTGAGAGGTGCCCGAGCAGGGGCTGCTCAGTGGGCCTGGAGGCCTGGTGTGGATGGCGTTTCCTGGAGGGATGGAGGGCAGGCCTGCCGGATGGCTGGAAGGATGGGCCTGGCGAAGAGGAGCAGAGGAGAGGGTGACAAGACTTGGGAGCTGAGGGCCGTGCTTCTGGGAGGCACGTTCAGCGGTGAATAGAAACACGTGTCTCCTTTACTCTTTTAGAAAATTGGGGAGGGTTTCCTGACTGACCTCAGCCAGCTGAAGCAGCTCCTGCACCTGGTCAGTGATGAAGCTTTCATCAGGGATGTGGCCAAAGTCAAACAGGTGGGCCTCATACTCAGGATTGTGTTTTCGCCGAGTTGTGTCCTGGGGCGCCGGTGCAAGCCCATCCTGGCGTTGAGTGGGTGGGTTTATCAGAACTCGGAGTGCCCCAGGGTTCTGGGGTACTCTCAGGCTTTTGTGAAGACCTCGACCCCAGACTGTCTCCAAGCCTGGCTTCCCACCCCCACCAGCATTCTGTAGGAGGGGCCCAACCTGTGTGACGCTGCTGGGGAGAGCCACCTACAAACGTGTCTGATCACTGCCCTCTCCAGTCGCGTCTCAGCATCCCCAGCAGCAGTCAGACTCTGTAGAGAGTTTCCCCGTGATCTCCCTCTTGCCAAACCAGACCAGCATTAGTCCTTTGAGATCTTTTAAGCAAACACATGGCAATTTTGACAGAGAAGCCAGGGACACAGCCACTGCTGCTCTTGCTGTGCAGACAGGGGCCAGGGGTGCCGTCGAGACCTCTGGTCCTCTGCGTGGCCAGCCGTGTGCCTCCCCCGATGCCTACACAAAGTGAGGGGCCCAGAAGCAGTCCTTTGTTCTAGATCCTTCCTGTGTCTGGCTCCCTGCACCTTTTCCGGACTGCCCACCAGCCGCTCCCCTCCCTGTCCTGTCCTGTGGGCCTTCAGTTCTGCTCCAGGTCTGTGCCTCATGGCACATGTCTGTTCAGCACCGCCCTGTGTGTATGTGCCCCCTGAGAAAGCGGAGCTTCTCTGGGCTTCGGAAGTCCATGTTTGGAGCAGTGCCATGGGGTGGTCCCGCAAGCTGTCTAGCCCATCCCTTCCCTTGACTCTTCCCAGGAGAACAAGCTGAAGTTCTCTGCCTTCCTAGAGAAGGAGTACAAGGTAAAAATCAACTCCTCCTCCATGTTCGACGTGCATGTCAAGAGGATCCATGAGTATAAGCGCCAGCTGCTGAACTGCCTGCACATCATCACCCTGTACAACCGTGAGTGGCCCCCTCCATCTCCCTTCACTGTCTCCTAGGCATCCAGTGGACACATGCCTCATGTCCAGGCCCTGAGTCCTACTCTCCATAGTCAGCATGGGTGGGTGGGGATAACATCACATGCTGGTCTGTCTGTGCACCCAGTGCTAGAACGGTGACCAGAGAAGGGACAACTGAGCTCTCAGCTTCTAACCCTGGTATGTAGGGGGCCCTGGGCTGAGGCTCGGAACAGTCAGCGTGGGCCTCGCTGGTGGAGGTGGGACTTCTGCAAGACCCCGAAGCTGGATTTTATGTTCAGTTTAGTTTTTATTTTAAATTTAGTTATTATCTCTAGTAGACTCATCTTAAGTATTTGGCAAAGTTTTGCTTAACACAGACGTTTAAAGTATACTTATAAGGAACAAAACAGAACCAGTTGCCATCAAATCAGTCCCAGCTCATAGTGACTCCATGTGGGTCAAAGTAGAAGTCTGCTCTATAGGGTTTTCAGCGGCTGATTTTTTGGAAGTAGATTTCCAGGCTTCTGAGGTACCTCTGGGTACCTTAAACCTCCAACCTTTCAGTTAGCAACTGAGCACATTAACTGTTTGCACCACCCAGGGACTCCAAGAAATAAAATAGTATATGTTAAATTTTTTCATGTCTCTTAAATTATTTAGATGGCACTCAATTATGAGAACAAACATGAATAAAGACCCTTTTAAATGTAAGTTTGAACAGCTGGTAGGTTTACAAATAAAATAGTAAAACCTTAAGGAAAAACTAGGTTTTAGAAATTTCATAATGTTTATAAAGTGAATATTAGTTCTGAAAACCAAACGAGCTACAAATACTCTTTTATAGATACCAAAGGTACTGTCAAAGGGCACCATGTCCGCTATTACAATTGGATAACGCTCGTCCAGTCTGTTGGCCAGGTAGCTATCTTCCAAATTTCTTGTCATAGACAAGTGAATGCTTCTAGCGTTGCAGCCATTTGTTGAAACATCTCAATTGGTATTCTGTCAATTCCTGGAGACTTGTTTTTCACCAATGCCTTCAGTGCAGCTTGACTTCTTTCTTCAGTACCATCAGTTCTTGATCATATGCTACCTCCTGAAACAGTTGGAAGACAGCTATCTGGCCAGCTGACTGGAAGAGATCCATATACGTCCCCATTCCAAAGAGAGGTGATCCAACAGAAGGCAGAAATTACCGAACAATATCATTAATATCACATGTAAGTAAAACTTCTCAAAAATGGTTGCAGGGAACTGCTAGAAATTCAAACCAGATTGAGAAGAGGATATGGAATGAGGGATATCATTGCTGATTTCAGATGGATCTTGGCTGAAAGCAGAGAATGCCAGAAAAATGTTTGCCTATGTTTTATTGATTACACAAAGGCATTCGATAACATTGCAAAGAATGGGAATTCCAGAACACACAATTGTGCTCACGTGGAACCTGTACATAGACCAAGAGGCAGTTGTTCAAAAGGAGCAAGGGTACACCGCATGGTTTAAAGTCAGGAATGGTGTGTGTCAGGGTTGTATCTTTTATCTGTTCAGTCTGTATGCTGAACAGATAACCGAGAAGCTGGAATGAAGACGAACGTAGCATCAGGATTGGACCTGCAATATGCAGATGACACAACTTTTGCTTGCTCAAAGTGAAGAGGACTTGAAGCACTTACTGATGAAGATCAAAGACTACAGCCTTCAGCATGGATTACACATCAACATAAAGAAGACAAAAATCCTCACAACTGGACCAAGAAGCAACATCATGATAAACAGAGATAATACTGAAGTTGTCAAGGATTTCATTTTACTTGGATCCACAATCAACGCCCATGGAGGCAGCAGTCAGGAAATCAAACGACGTATTGCATTGGTCAAATCTGCTGCAAAAGACCTTTCTAAAGTGTTAAAAAGCAAAGATGTCACTTTGAGGACTAAGGTGCGCCTAACCCAAGTCATGATATTTTCAGTCATCTTATATGCATGTGAAAACTGGAGAATGGATAAGGAAGACCGAAGAAGAATTGATGCTTTTGAATTATGGTGTTGGCGAAGAATGTTGAATATACCATGGACTGCCAGAAGAACAAACATACCTGTCTTGGAAGAAGTAGAGCCAGAATGTTCCTCAGAAGAGAGGATGGGGAGACTTCCTCTCACATACGTTGGACATGTTATCAGGAGGGACCAGTCCCTGGAGAAAGACATAATGCCTGGTAAAGTGGAGGGTCAGTGAAAAAGAGGAAGACCCTCAACAAGATGGACTGACAACAGTGACTAACAGTGGGCTCAAACATAGCAAGGATTATGAGGATGGTGCAGGACCAGGCAGTATTTCGTTCTGTTGTACACAAGGTCATTGTGAGTCTGAACCAACTCGATGGCACCTAACAACAACAGCAAGGCTTGTCCAGGTGCAAGAATCTGGCCCCTCTGAGGCATGATGTAATATGGTTGATGCTGTCTTTACGGAGTGCTTCTGATGCTGAGCCTCAGCAAAGTCACATGAGGTGGCAGCAGGTGAGCCTCCCTCCCCCATCCCCTTGGATGGTGGGGCAGCACAGCAGCCCAGTGATGAGTGTGACCCCCCCCCGCCCGGAACAGCACTTACATAGTCACCTAGCAGTAGTTAATATCACGTGATGCGAAACTTCTGTTTGCTTTTCCATGCCGTGGTTTTCTTTTGCAGCTGTATGTTCTGCATTTTTCTTCATTTCTCTCTGTGATGCACCAGTTCCCCTGCCTGAACAATTCTGTTGGTTCTTGATGTATGAGCAACAGTGAAAGTAGCTCACAACTCCTTCCCTCCACTCCACCACCCACTTTTAGCCAACGGTATCGTCATCTTTCAGTGGTTACCTTTAGATAAGGATTTACAGAACAAACTAGTTTCTCATTGAACAATTGGTACACGTATTATTTTGTGACATTGGTTAACAACCCCACAACATGTCAGCACTCTCCCTTCTCAGCCTTGAGTTCTCCATAACCAGCTTTCCTGTCCCCTCCTGCCTTCTAGGCATTCCTCCGGGGCTGGTGTGCCCCTTCAGTCTCGTTTTGTTTTATGGGCCTGTCTAATCCTTGGCTAAAGGGTGAACCTCAGGAGTGACTTCATTACTGAGCCAAAAGGGTGTCTGTGGGTCATATTCTCCGGGTTTTTCCGGTCTCTGTCAGACAAGTAAGTCTGGTTTTTTTTTGTGTGTGTGTGTTAGAATTTTGTTCTACATCTTTCGCCAGCTCTGTCTGGGACCCTCTGTTGTGATCCCTGTCAGAGCAGTCGGTGATGGTAGCCAGATACCATGTAGTTGTGCTGGACTCAGTCTGGTGGAGGCTATGGGAGTTGTGGTCCATTAGTCCTTTGGACCAGTCTTTCCCTTGTGTTTTTGGTTTTCTTCAGACACTTCTTAAAAGCTTGCAGGCGGCCACGTAAGATGCATCAGTTGGTCCCAGCCACCTGGAGTAAAGGAGAATGAAGAACACCAAAGACACAAGGAAAGTATTAGCCCAAGAGACAGAAAGGGCCACATAAACCAGAGACCTCATCAGCCTGAGACCAGAAGAACTACATGGTGCCTGGCTACCACCAATGACTGCTCTGACCGGGAACATAATAGAGTCCCTGATGGAGCAGGAGAAAGGTGAGATGTAAAACTCAAATTCTAGTAAGAAGACCAGACTTAATGGTCTGAGACTGGAGGAACCCTGGAAAGCATGGCCCCCAGATTCTCTGTCAGCCCAGAACTAAAACAATTTCCGAGGCCA